TTACAGCATGTTATTATAACGCTGGTATGATAATACCTATAACTTGTACTTTATGAGAAACCCCCCCCCCCTTGTGCCTTTTCTGTCTCCCTCCCCCCATTTCTTTCCTTTTTTACTTCATTCCTTCATTCACTCAAAGAACCCTGAATACTCTGCTTGTGTCTAAGAAATCATAGCAGGGGCGAGATGAGCCCAGCAGTCAGCAAGAATGTTCTTTGCTTAGATACGTTGCTCAGTAACAAAAAAGTAATCAAAACAATGTATTTATTAAGTAGATTTTTTTTCTTACTTCGTGGGCGGAAGAGCCCTCAGCCAGCAGTTGAGTGCAGTGTGAGAGCACACGCCGCACGATGGCCCACATGGCATCTTCCGGGTCTAGTCTGAGGGGGCCTCTCCTACGCCCTCTGTGTCTTTGAGAGGCAGTACGTGGTCTGGGTTCAAATCCTGTCCCACCCATTCTCTCACTGTGTGACCGTGGGCAGGCCTTGGTCTCAGCTGTAAAATGGGTATCAGCATAGTTTCTGCCCAGGGAGTTGCTGGGTTGGGTCAACGAGCCTTTAGAACCTGGCCCATCGGAGTGTTCGCTGCTCTTACAATGATTCGTCAGCGGTAGTTCTTTCCGTCATTAGCGCCGCACTGTCCAGCACCGTAGCCGAGAGCCGTAGGTAGCTACTGCGCTCTGAAAACGTGCTGGTCTGAGTAAACACGGGCTGTAAGTGCAAAATACACACCAGGATCAAAGACTTAATAGGAAAACAAGAATGTAGACTTTCTCATTAACTTATGCTGATTACATGTTGAAATAGTCATTTTTGATATATCCAGTTAAACCAATATATTATTAAAATTTGATTACACGTGAGTGGCCAGATTATTATGACCACCCCATCAGTACAATGAAGTGAATTCGTTATGCAAATAATAATAATAATAAAACCTTGAGAGTATTTGCTTAGGAAGTTTTTTCAATATTCAGTATTTTTGGAAGTGTGAATGAAGTACTGATGGGGTGGTCATAATAATCTGGCCGGTCATAATAATCTGGCCACTCAGTGTATATGTGGTTCGTGTTACCCTTCTGTCGAACCATGGTGGTTCCGATGAAGACGTCCCTGTAGCATCATGACAGTTAAAGGAAACATGATGCCTTTCATGTGAGCCACGAAATAAGGCCCACAGGTGAACGCACTGTGAAAAGATGTTTAAGAAAACGAACCCTGTTTGAGACGTAAAACAAGTCGAGCGACGCTAGTTTATCTCCTCTTTCCCTCCTATCTCCTAATGCGGTTAATTTGATATTTAACTTTCTGGCCACTCTTTGTGTTCTCTTTCAGTGACAAGTTCACTCGATTCTGTCAGTGGAAAAATGTAGAATTAAATATCCATGTGAGTATCGTCTTTTTACTTCCTTTTTAAAATTAAAAAGTCCCTCTGGCTTCCCTGCGTGAGAAAATACTTGCTTCTGGAGCCTGCTCCCCAGGGTGACACCCTGCCCGAGCAGATGTCCTCGCTGCTCTGCGTACGACAGAGCTGCCCTCCCATCCCAGCTGCAAACAAGTTGAATTTTCATTCTCTCTCTTTTTTTAAAAAATATATTTTTATTGATTTCAGAGAGGAAGGGAGAGGGAGAACGAGGTAGAAACGTCAGCGATGAGAGAGGATCATTGGTTGGCTGCCTCCCGCAGGCCCCACACCGGGGATGGAGTCCCCAACCCAGGCATGTGCCCTGACCGGGAAAAGAACCGTGACCTCCTGGTTCATAGGTTGATGCTCAACCGCTGAGCCACGCTGGTTGAGCTTAATTCTGTGGTTTTTTTTTTTCATATTCCTATAAGCATGTGTTTATTTCTTTAAGAAAGGACATTTGATCACATCTTTTTTAGACCAAAGTTTTACCTTTTTTAAATTTTTTTTTTTAATTTTGAGAATGCTAAGAGGGTCCTCAAACACTGGCTGCTTTCTAACCTGTATTCATTCCCCTGGCTTTCCATCCTCCATTAGCGTTCAAGGTCAGTGATTACAGGATGTAACCTCTGCTGCACTTGGAGAACATGCTTTCTTGCCCAGCCTCTTACTTCCTCCCTCCTCCTTTCCCTTCACAGAGGCTTGCAGTTGGGGGAAAAAGTTATCAACTGGATTTTTTTGGGTGGAGTTTTTTACTTGAATGGGCCTGTTGGAAGAAGTTTTTTTTTTTTTTTTTTTGGTTTGTTTATTTATTGATTTATTGAATCTCTCCTTTCCATCACATTTCCTGGCAGGATTTAGAAGCATGAGGCAATAACACACATTTTAAAAAAATCCCTCTCCTAGCCAGTTTGGCTCAGTAGACAGAGCGTTAGCCTCTAAGAGTGAGGGGTCCCAGGTTCGATTCCGATCAAGGGCATGTACCTTGGTTGCAGGCTCAATCCCCGGCCCTGTTCCAGGCGTGCACGGGAGGCAGCCAGTCGATGTATCTCTCTCACATCGATGTTTCTCTCTCTGTGTCTCTCCCCCTCCTTCCACCCTGTCTGAAAATCAATGGGAAAATGACCTCGGGTGAGGATTAGCCAAAAATAAATAAGTGAATAAAAAAGCCCTTATATCTGCTGTGGATTTTCCTCACGCTCATGCTCCTTCCACCGGCCTGGTGTCTGTGTCCTCATGTCCCTTGTCCCATGTCCTCTCAGCATCAGACATGATCAGACATGAAGCCTGTGGCCAGCTGCCCCTACCTGGCTGCAGACATGACGTTTTAGGGGGTGGGTAGGGGAACTTTTAAGAATCTGACCCTTAGGCTGCCTAGCAGGCCTCTGCTGTTATCCGAGGGCCTCTTCCCATGACCGTAGGATTGTCTGTCTGCCTTGGCACCATCGGGTGCTGTTCAAACTCCGTCTGAAGCAGGGCATTGCTGACACATCCTGACCAAAAGGAAAAGTGCTCATGAATAAAGCCTCTTTATCTACTTTGCTCACACTTAGTCTTGCTTCAGGCTCACATGCCCAGCACGAGTCCCCTCTCTCTTCACGGATGTGATCGATAAAAAAATTCACATGGCCGGCGTCCGCCGGGTTTTCTGATCATATGGCTCACTCTTAGGGGAACTCGAATGCCCTGGACACGGGCTTATTCTCCCACCACGGCGGTTCCTGGGATTGCCGCGTGGTTGCCAAACTTCAGGCTTCAGAGCGGCCGAGGTTGCTTTGCATTTCGACTAGAAACTTCCCAGACGCTTGTCTTCCGGGCATGTGTCTTGTAGTCTGAGACGGATGAGGTGGGCACAGCAGTCTCGCTGGGCTCCCACTCCGTCACCTTCCCGTCTGCCTCTGTGCTGGGCCTTCGGGGGTGGAGCAGGCAGAGGTTCTAGAAAGCCCTGCCTCCTCCTGCTGCTCCCCTCTGTCCAAGGAGTCAGTCGTGGGAACGGCGGGCCCCTCCCTCAGAACGGCCACGTTAATAACTTGTGCGTGTCTCGCTTGAAAAAACCCTTCCCATGTCATTTTTATGCGGCCGTTACGTGTCCATTTCGTGTTTTGAATTCACAGTTGACCATGAATGATTTCAGCGTACATAGGATCATCGGGCGAGGCGGCTTTGGAGAAGTCTATGGCTGCCGGAAAGCAGACACTGGAAAAATGTAAGTTTTTGGCGTTCCTACGTTTTCCCGGGACTATGACGAGGGTCTTGTGCTCGCACCCAAAGACAATCCCTGCACGGACTTTTGGAAGCCCGTGATCCTCGCTCCCGGGCTTGTTTGCCTCGGAAAGAAATAGACATTCTCCTAAGTAAAGGCCCACCCACGATTTAGCACATGCAGTTTGGGGTGTCGTAGCATCCAGGCAGCGTGGGTCCCCCAGATGAGGAGCTGGGTACTGTTGAAGAGGGTGGACGCTCTGCTACAAAGGTCAAGGTCATGGGCCCCATCGCTCATCTCAGTCACTCGTCTCATGGGAGGTGGACGTGAGGCAGTTACGTGTGGGACATACGGGTCTTCTAGTGGATGGGGGAGTTGTGAAGTGTGGGGAACGTATGTTAATATGGAAGCGGTTTAAGTGAACATGTTTCTGAAGGCAAGAGAATGGGCAGGTCTGATGTGATGGACCCAGACCTCCACGTCTGGTTCAGGGGCAGGCACGGGAGAGCAGTGGGCGAGGCGGGACAGTCTGTGAGGGTGGTGCATGACGTCATTAGTCAGTGTGAGACGGAGGAGTTGAGGTCACCCAGGTCGGTGCCCGCCACCTGCACTGCCCCCGCATCACCTACGGGGTTGCCGCTCAGCCCCTGCCTGAGTCTGTCCTGGTCCTCCACTTGGCATGTTTCGTATTCTGTGGCGGCTGAAACTTACCTTCACTGGCTTGTGCCCATGGCTCCTCTTCCTGCTGTGGGGCCCTGTGCAGGGTGAAGCCGGTGCCTGGCACCCAGGTGCCTGACGTCTGGCGTCCTGCGGAGACGGGATCACGTAGGGATCCCGGGTGTGGGTCTCGGGTGCCGCACGGCCAGGTCAGATTCGCTTCCGCACTTTCTTGTTGGCTTGGGCAGAGCCTGTGCCTCTCTGAGCCTCCACATCCTCGTTTGTAAAGTAGGGATGAAAAAGAGCGCCTGCCTCGTTGCAGAATTAAATGAGACAACACACTGTCAAAACAGTCCTGCTATGAAAACTTCCTTTCCCGTCCAGTACTCACCCCGGGGACTTTGATCCTAAACGATACACTTTACTCTTCACTTATTACATTTCATGAAATGTAGTAGCTTTACTTCATCATCGCAGCGTGTTGAGGTTTTTAGAATATCTAGGCAGTCCCATGATGTTGTAGAAGCACATGCTATCGATTTGTCTCTTTAGACACATTTGCTTTTTCACCTGACTCTCAAAAACTGGCACGGAGTGGAAGGTCTTTCGATTTAGGTTTGTCCGATGCTTTTCCCACAGTTGGATGGGGGTGGTGGGCTTCAGGAAGGAAGACCCAGAGGTAAAATGCCCTTCTCATTGCATCAGATCACATCAAAGTTACCTGTTATTAAAGTGATGGATTTCTGTTGATGTTGGTCTTGATCCCTTGACCGAGGTTGTGTTTGTCAGACTTGACCATGAAGTCACCCTCCCCTTCTCCCTGCTGTGCTCCCCGGAAGTTCCTATGCATAGCCCACACCTGAGGAGTGGGGGGTTGTGCTCCTGCAGAGGGGAGGGGATTTTTTTCCTTAATACGTGTAGTAAGACTTTTTTTTTTGCATGGCACTTGGGTGCCGGTTTGCTTTTTATAAACACTGCCCAAACCTGTCCCGGTGTGGTGTATCGTGTTGAAATCAGTCTGGGTGTGTTTATGGTGTTGATTTTTCAACCATATTTCTGTTTCTAGGTATGCAATGAAATGCTTGGATAAGAAGAGGATCAAGATGAAACAAGGAGAAACATTAGCCTTAAATGAAAGGATTATGTTGTCGCTCGTGAGTACAGGAGTAAGTATTCAAAACTTCCTCCCTCCCTCCCTCCTTCCCTCCCTCCCTTCCTTCCTTTCTTTTTTTTTTTTTGCCCTGACTGGTTGTCGAACCGGCAACCTTTTGGTCCTTGGGACCACATTTAACCGTCTGACCCACGCCGGCCAGGGCGATACTCAGTTGTGAGCATTGCTCTTTGTGTGTGGATGTGTTTGTCGGTTTTATATCAGGACGATGTATTTAAAATGCAGGCATTTTCTGGTTGAGTTATGGGGCCAGCCGATTCTGGGGTGGGTTGGAATCCATAGCAGGGATCGGCAGCACTGAGCTGATACAGTGTCCCATTCAGACATGACCTCTGTTTCCTGGGGAGCTGGCCAAGTACCAGCAACCTGCACCATGAACGCCCGTGACTTCTCCCTATAGTATGCGTTTATGATGAACTTCACTGCGGAATATGGTTGGGGAGAAGGCAGGAAATAATCATACCAGCAACAACAAAGTCCCCTGAGTACAGTTAGGAATTAACTGCATGACCGAGCAGGACTAAGCCAGAGAGAAAGTAAGAGATCTTCGCTCCTGTCCTTCACAAACAGAGAGCAAGCGACTGGGGCTCGCCAGCTCTGCGCTGTCCCCGTGGGGTTGTCCCCAGACAGTGTCTCCTCGGAAGGTGACTTTATCTTCTCAGCACTTGCCATGTTTTACCTGCTGTGGCCTTTGGCCGTTCCCATTCCCAGGACACCGTGTCCACCTGCTGGGTGTTTTATTTGTATGTCAGGGCTCGGCACATCTACAAACAAACCTTGACCCCATGTCTCCACTTGCAGAGCAGTGTCCCATGCGGATTTCTGCGGATTTCTTTTTCTGGTGACGGCGTTGGCCAGGATCAAAGCCGTGGCTCTTATTTATTTGGGCAGGTGTCGTAAAGGCACATCCAGAAACCACACCGTCCCAGCGACCTGGCGTGCCTCTGCGCGTCCATAGGTCTGTCGTCCAGCGCTCGCGAAAAGGAATGTAACGAGCACGGAATGGCCAGGCCCATGCTAAGAAGCTCACATGTGATTTTCACGTTAAACACCAAACCACGTCCTGGCCAGGGTGGCTCCGTGGGCTGGGCCTTGTCTTGGTGGGCCAAAAGGTCACTGGTTCGAGTCCCCGCCAGGGCACAGACTCAGGTTGTGGTTTGATACCCGTGTGGAAAGCAACCGATCTTTTGTTTTCTCTCCCTCTCTCCCTCCCTTTCTCTCTCTCTCTCACTCTCTCCCTCTCTCCTTGTTTCCCTCCCTCATTCTGTTTCTCACTCTCTTCCTCCCTCCCTTTTCCTTCCTCTCTCTCTCAAATCAATAAAAACATAAAATTAACCATTTGTACGCTGTAAGCATCTATAGATGCAAGTGGTGGGCTTTTTTTTAATTAAATTCAAAATATCGTGGCAGTAAACTGATTAAAAACAAAAACACAAGCCAGGAAGCTTTGTACACAGCGAGACATCCCGCATTTTAGTCACTCGATGGGCCGCGTGGTTTGGGTTCATCCCCTGAGTTTACCGCATTGTGGTTGATATTGTCCAAATGGTTCTAGAAGGGCCACCTGCTGTTGAAGCAATAGAATAGCCACATTGAGCTCGACTCTACCAAATGGAAATGCCATGGCTGTAAATAACTGTGCGCCGCTACCTCCGGGCACATGGGCGGTGAGCATTTCCCATCAGAGTCCCTGTGCGCACGACCACGTCTGCAGCCGCCCTGAGCGGCCAGCTCCCTGTAGCGGGATCCGTATGCCTGGCTCCGGCTCCTCATTTCTCCGGGATAAGTCTTTGTCTTAAATTCCACACTTGGACCTGCGCTCACTGCAGACTTTCAGGGCTTATTAAAAGCATTAATTTTTAACGCGTTCTCTTCTACAATTTTCCTGTAGCGATTTCATATTTATTTTATCCAGCCGAGGGGAATGTGGTTAATTAGTTGTGTAGTTCCTCGCCAGTCTCCCCCGAAGGCTATAAATAAAAAATTGGGCTTTTATTGGGCTACTGCTTTGAACTGATTTAAAAGAATTGTTTATATTTTGTATCCCAGTAGCAAACTGTCTAGATTTTTTTTTTTACATATAAATATAAAATTTACCCAAAAGAGCTGTAGTAAAATTGTTTGGCATGGCTTTTGCTAATCAGAGGCCACTGTTCATAGGTTTGGAGTGATCTTCAGTTTAAAGAGCCTCATTAGGGTGAACTCTCAATCTCCTTCATCAATATGATGTTCTAGGTGTTGGTATGAGACTGAACTGCACTCACTCATCTTTTTTTTTTTTTTTTTTTACTAGAAGTGTTTTTTTTTTTTCTTTCAATCTCAAACGGAGTATTCCACCCCTCATCCCCCAGAGAGACAGCAGGAAGTACTGTTGCCAGTTTCCTTGTGTATTTCTTGCCAAGTAACAAGGGAAGGCATGTGCGAGATGCAAGATAAGTCCGCCCACAGCTGGGAAGAGCAGTCAGCACCTTCCTTACACAGTCCCTTAGCGTTCAGCTGGTGTTATTCCTTCCGTCATTGAAGCACAATGTAGGGCCGCCTTCTGAGCCACGCACTCTGCTCTGAGATGGGGGTCCTAGGACTTGACTTTGGCCCTTGCTCTTGCAGAGCTGCATATGGGATGAGAGAGGGAGGTAGTGTTCAGGTCATCTTGGAAGTGCATAGGTGATTGGAACAGGTGGCGAGAGCTGTGAAAGGCGCGCACGCAGGGCTCGGAAGGCACTTACCAGGGTGGAGATGTTGCCAACGAGAGTTCCCGTGACGTCAGAGGGTGCCAGCGCGTGTCTGGTCCTGAGCACGGAGGGTCTGGGGACCTCAGGGAAAGCCATGGAGCTGGGGTCAGAGGTGATGGGGTGAGGAGCACAAGGCGAAGCTGGAGAGAGAGGAACAGACCGGGCCGGACCCTAAAGAGCTTTCTGGGCCAATATTGAGGGTTTTGAAAAATCTCCCAGCAGTCGGAAGCAACGCGTGTGAAGTGGGAAGATAACACGATAAGCCTTGCGGTCTGCAAGGATCCCTCTGGCTGCAATGTGGAGAACTTTCTTGAAAAAATACTCCCGGCCTCTCTTATCCCAGTCCTACACGGAGTTGCTGCAAAGTGCAAGCCGTTTCGCTCGCTGCCCGTAGGAAACCAGGCAGTTCTCTGCTGAGGAACTTTATTTAAGGGTTTACTTCTAGAAATTCACTCGTTCTCATTGGCCCGCATTTGTAATCAAGGCAGAACCTCTTAACAGTAACCGTGTCAACATCACTCGTTACATCGCTGCCTGTGTGTCCTTGCTGGTCAGCATTTGGTTCTGGATCTCAGAGTCGACTTGAGACTCGGCACGGATCCACTCGGCACCTGAGAGGCGAGGCCTCGAGCGCAGTCCGTGGGCTCTGTAGAGGGAACCAAGTCACCTTCACAACAAAGCGTTGCTGTGGGAACCTGACTGGTAGCCCATCGCAGAACTCCGGAGAGGGTCAGGAGGCCTGGGGTTTGAATGTTGGCCGGCTACCAAGTTTCCTTGTGACCTTACACAAGTCATTTCCCTTGTTGGGGGGTGGGGGGGGGAATCTTTAGTTTCCTTGTCTTTAAAATAAAGAAGTCGAACCAGGTAATTTCGTATTTAAAAGAGCCCTTTCTACTCAGACAGCCTATGATTCTAAATCTACAGTTCGAGCCCCACCTAATGACGCAGTATCTTAAGGATCCTTTAACCGTTGGACGTCTTCTTGCCGCTGTCATTAGACGGACCGTGTGCCATCGGGGTCACAAATGCCCCTGGGCCGGGTCTGCGTGTCCCCCAGCTGTCTCGAGCTGGGGAAGATCCCGACTCTACTAAGTCCTGGGGCCGCCCACTTCTCCGCGCTACACATGAACTAACTGCTCATCAGATCAGGAACCAGAGTGGGTGGGGAACCCCATTTAGGGAGGAGCAGCAGGCGATTGGGAAGGTCTGGAGAAACGTGGGTGGGTTCTAAGGGGGAGCGCCCCCCACCCCCATTCCCCGAAGGTCACATGGCTTTTAACAGAAAAGTGAGAGCACCTTTACTTTACCTATTTAAAGCAAAACAGATCTTGGCATCAGGAAACACTAACACCATCTCAACAGAACTCCAAGGGAAACTAGGTAACCGCAAAACGAATTTTGTCATTCACTCGGAAGCAATTTCCCCTGGAAGGTTTGTGGAGATTGGGTCTGACTTCATGAGTCTTTAGCATATAGGAATGAGTGAGCTCAAGTTTAACTGGATGCCCTTAATGCAGCGGTTTGGACAATGTGAATTCTGTTTACAGATTATTCTGCTAAAACTTGAATTTAGTAATTCTTTTTTTCTTCTGTTTAACAAAAGTGGATACAGATGTTCTATGCCTTTTTTTATTTGAATCAGTGGAGGGGCAAGCATTCACTGTACATAAGGAATCTAAATAGACCTGGCTATCGGTCTAGCACAGCACCGATGCCGTCTCCCCGGGGAGCCCACGTGTGTGTCCAGCACCCAGATCACGGGATCGAGAGTTCCCAGTGTCCCAGAGGCCTCCGCGTGCCCCTCTCGCCACTCACCCCACGCCCAGCTAACTACCACCCCGACTCTGGCACCGTAATTTAGCTTTCCCCCGTGTTTGAACTTTATATAAACGCTCCCTTTTGTGTCTGGCTCCTCTCGCTCAGTGTTGCGTGTGACATTTCGTCTGTGTCCCCGCACGTGGCCACAGTGCATCCCGCAGCTAAACACGGGGCCGACACGCTATGTCTAGCCTCTGGACCCGATCGGGCGTGTGGCCTCCTGTTGCGCAGCCCATGAACTCAGAATGGCCTGGATGTTTGTAAAGGGTTGTAGAGAAAATTAGCAGACTGCCTGACAGAGGCTGCCTGGGGCCTGCAAAGCCGAAAGTATTTGCTGTCTGGCCCTCGGTAGGAAACGCTTGCTGACCCTTGTTCTCCGGTGTTCCATTGCGTCAGGAGGCCACAGTTGAGGGACCCGTTCTCGGGTGGTAGACGTTTGGTTGTTTGCTGGTTCGGGCTGTTTTGGACAGTGTTGTGAGGAGCATTCTCGCGCAGTCCTCTGGGTGCACGGAAGTACAGATCCCCGGGCGGGGTGCAGCCCAGGGTGGAAACGCCGGTCACAGGGCGGTGGATGGTGCTCAGCTCTAGCGGATGCCGCCCAAACAGCTTGGGAGAGTGGTGGTTCCGTGGCACGCTTCTGGCAGCCACTTACTCCGTGCCTTCCCAGCACTTGGGATTGCCGGTTTTAGCCGGTTCTTGTGAGTTCAAGGGATGGCATGTGTGGTTTTGAACGTGCATTTCCTTGGGGACAACTGAGGTTCAGCATCTGCTCATAGGCCTGTGGGCCATTGGATAGCCGCTTATGTGAAGGGCCCATTTATTCCTGTCATTGGCATTAGCAGTTGCCCTTTTTCCATTGAGTGGATGGCTTTCTCTCTCTGTTGACATACAGGGGTTCTTTGTGTATAAGTAAGAGTCCTTCCTGCGTTTATGGGTCACAGCTATTTTCTCCCATGCTGCACAGGGCAGTGCCTGGCTGCAAAGATCTGGAGCCGGCCCTGGCCGGTGTAGCCCAGTGGTTAGAGCGCCGGCCTGTACACCAGAGGTCGCAGGTTCGCTTCCTGGTCAAGGGCATGTACCTCGGTTGCAGGTCCGATCCCTGCCCTGTGTCGGAGCACGCACGTGTGGGAAGCAACGGGTCCATGTCTCTCTGCCATATTGATGTTTCTCTCTTTCTCTCTCCTCCTCTCCCCCGTCCCTACCACTCTCTCTAAAAAGCAGTGGAAAAAAGGTCCTCACTCCTCGAGTGAGGATTAAAAACAAAATCTGCAGCTGATGTTTGGTAGCAGATGTGCTTTTCAGGGAAGCTTTTGCTTTTCTTACACATTTTTATGTTTTTTTTCCCCTTTGTTCTAGGATTGTCCTTTCATTGTCTGCATGACCTACGCCTTCCACACTCCAGATAAACTCTGCTTCATCTTGGACCTGATGAACGGTAAGCGAGTCGGACTCCCTGAAGGACGTAGCCGTGACCCGGCCGACGGGCAGGTTGGGTCTCTCTGATCAGTCGTTTGCCCCTGAAGATGGAGGCAGCCTTTTACTCTTCAATCTAATTAAAATTCATGTAAAATGTTGACCTGGGTTTCCCTCTGCCCCTCCCAGTCTTTCCCTGGAAGTTGCATTTCCTAGAAAAGATTTTCATAAAATACTTACAGCGAAACGTGATTTTCTGGAATGCAGCTGGTCTGGGCCGTTAATTAGCTTGTTGCCTGGCCCTCAACGTTTAGGAATGAAATGTCTCATAAGAATATAGGTTAAATGTATTTAAAATCCAACTTTGAAGGATGTTCGCCCGATTTCCTGTACCTTTAGCCCAGAACAACTGTACCTTGGCCTTTTCAACTGTGAGTGAATGATGGCCTTTAGAATGGCGAACAAGGTTTAGACAGAAAAACGATTTCTAATACTAGAAAGCGACACGGGGTGGACAGAGAGTCTTTTTGATAACAAGAGCTGAAATAAAAAGGCATACAATTCAACAAGTAAAGTGCCTTTTTTTGAGGTTCCTGGGATGTTTTATTATGGTTTGAGTGTTTGATTTAAGACTGGATCTGTCCCACGACATGAAGGGATTTCACAGACATAATAACGAACAAAAGCGGCCAGACGCAGCGGCCTGCGGTCTGTACGGTTCTATTTCTGTGACCGTCAGAAATCAAAGTCAGGCACGCAGACTCTTTAGGACGACAGCGACTTTTCAAATCAACCCTGTGCCTCCGACTCCAGGGGGCGACCTGCACTATCACCTGTCACAGCACGGGGTGTTCTCCGAGAAGGAGATGCGCTTCTACGCCACCGAGATCATCCTGGGGCTGGAGCACATGCACCATCGCTTCGTCGTGTACAGGGACCTGAAGGTGAGCTGCGCGGCCGGCTCGCCGGTCACCGGGTCCGCGCGGGGAGGCGTGTGGTCCCGGCGCTCGGACATTCCCGTCCTTTTCCTCACTCAGCCCCGACGTCCCTGTGATGTCGGTCTCTTCCAGGCTCCGAACTCTGTCCTCGGAGCTCGCGTCTGTCCCGGTGGCCAGTCACCTCGGCGCCTGCTACGGTGCCTGGCGCAGCTCGGACGCTCATTCCACAATTTTAACTGGTTGATTCGTGCAAAGCAGGGGCGGGCGCTTTCTGGTGTCGCTGCTCATGTTTACCATGAATTGTAATTCGGTTGATGCTCACTAAGCCGCTGCCTTGGCCCTGGCTCTGTGTCAGAGCTGGAGATGTGCAGAGATAGCAAGCGAAGGACTTGCGTCTCACTGGATGCACCCTGGTGAACCAGGACATAGACGGGCCGGTCAGAGTTCATGGGGGGGCGAGGCTGGCCAGCCTGCAGAGCTTCCCCCAAAGGCCAGTGCCAGAGCTTCGAGGTCAACTTAAAAACCACGGATAGATTGTTCTAGATCCCTGAGCTACAGAACCCCAGCGTACTATGCTTGGGCTTCTGTTCTTGTTTTCTTTAAAAATATCTCACCGGTGCCCGGCCGGTGTGGCTCAGTGGTTGAGCGTCATCCCATGCACCAAGAGGTCATCAGATCGATTCCCAGTCAGGGCACATGCCCGGGTTGTGGGCTCCATCCCCAGTAGGGGGCATGCAATTTTAAAGCTTTCTTCAAAGTTAATAAATTATTCTCTTAATTTTCACAAGAGCACAAAGAAAAATATTGTTCTCATCGAATTATAAATAATGAGACACTGGCTGGTATGTGACATTTTATTTCCTCGTGTGAGTTTTACAGAAGAATAAAATACAAGCCAAAGATCTAGAAAGTACCATTGTAATGCGTTTCCATGTGCATCTATAACCGGTTTCTGAGCGTCTTTATGCCATGGTTTTGTTTTCTCAGCTATTTAGTAGGCAGTGGTATTATTTAATTTCTATTCCAACTTCATCCTCGTCACTCATGATTATTCATGCTCCGCTGTTATAATAGCATGCCATTATTTTTATTTCAAGCGAAACAATGGTGATCTCCAGCAGAAAACGATGAAGACGACTGTAATTCAATGTATATCGGGGAGAGGAGCTTTGTTTGCCGTGATTATGCTGACCAAATCTAATCTCAGTGGCTACATTTCATCAGCGTTGCGGTCAAAATTACATTTGGTCATTTGGTGGATCGGGCACCAGTCAACAGAAATGACATTGATGGGGACCTGGGTGGCCCTGTGGAGTACTTTGACTTCTTAGGTCAGCGCCGGTAGCATCTTGCAAGATTCCTTTCTGTTCTGTGCCTCATGGGGTCTCCTTCTCAGAAGTCGTTATGACTCACAGAGGCACAGTGTCCCAGCTGGAAGGCCGGGAAAAGAACAAGCTTTGTCACACTGATGAACTGTGCTCACAGCCCCTCGCTCTTACCTGCACTTCATTTTCGTTAGTAGTTGAATCCTTCGCTACTAATAACCAGCACCATCATTACCACTCTCAGCGGAAGTTAACGTGCCGCATTCATCCTCAGCATCGTGCCCTCCTTGGCTGTGATCTCATAGAGCTAGAATTTGTGTTCAGGAAGGAACTGTGATAAGATAATGAGGCACTCCGTGCCTGTAGTTTTAGACTTCCTCAGAGCCTCCAGGCATCCGGGGAACTCTCGCAGATCACCTTCTCTTTCTCTTCAGCCCGCAAATATCCTCTTGGATGAGTACGGACACGTCAGGATATCAGATCTCGGTCTGGCCTGTGATTTCTCCAAAAAGAAGCCGCACGCGAGCGTGTGAGTAGTGCATCGCCTCTGTCCACCATCATTTCTCCACTGCAGCCTGCTTGTTCCCTCGGACGCCGCCCTGGTCACGTGTTATCGTCCATGCCCCTCCCCTCCCCCATTTTTTTCTTGCCAGCCGTGATTTTCTTTTTCTTTTTTTTAAAAAAAATATTTTTATTGAATTCAGAGAGGGAGAGAGAGATAGAAACATGGATGAGAGAGATCGGCTGCCTCCTGCACGCCCCACACTGGGGATCAAGCCCGCAGCCCAGGCGTGTGCCCTGACTGGGAATTGAACCATGACTTCCTGGTTCACAAGTTGACCCTCGGTAATAAAGCTCTGAAGGTCGTGATAAGGAGAAATGAAATAGTCCGTGGGCCGAGTGCAGAGGCAGCTGTATGGGGAACTCTCCAAGGACAGCTGGAGGTCAAGTTTCTCCATCTACCTGTTCCTTCCTTTTCAAAATAACTGTGTGGGTTTTTGTTTTTTAAGAGAAATTAGGAATATTATTAAATTAAAAACCAAACATCTACTTGCAGTTCAAGCTGTTGAACATGGGTCAGTCCTCTAAGTGACCGCGCAGGGGACCCTCCCTGACACCACAGCCTCCGCCACACCTGGCCCCTCGGGGCCCCCTGGACTGCGTGTGGCGGTGGCCATGCGTGATCGGGGCATTTTGACACTGGCCCCAGAGCTTCTCTGAACCCAGGATTATTCAAATGACAGGTGTGAGGGTTCAGTCATTGAATGAACGAAACACGTGTTCATTTACATTGGCTGTGTGCTAGGTGCTGGCGGTGCTGCGGTGACCACGACAGAAAGGACCCCTGACCTCCGGGAGGTGACCAGGGTGTGGGGTGGCAGTGCCATCGGTTGGGCCTCAGCTGTTCCAGGCAGGCACCGCTTGCTGCTTTGAATAGGTTGCTATCTTCACAGAAGCCCTGGAGCTTGTAGATGCCATTATCTACTTTCTGTGGTGGGAAAACTAGGCCACCCATCCGGCACATCCCGGGGCCAGAACTACAGTCCGGTCTGTCTGTCTGACTCCCAGGAAATAGCCCCACCTCAGCATGGGCGACGCGGGTCCGCAGGAGTGGGTGTCCCCACCCCTTCAAAGTGCACGGCACGGCCGCGTGGTCGCCTGTGCATCGTCCCCTCCCTTCCCTTGTCCCCAGTCCCACGGGCTCCTCACAGGAGCTCTCGGTCGGGAGGAGACCTTCCGCTCTTCAGAGCTGTCCAGGTGGAGGAGGGGGCTGACCGGATTCAGATGTCTCCTCCAGGACGGAGCACTAGTCTTCACAGTGAATTCGTGGGGGATCTGTTGCGAATCATTTCCTATCCCGGGTAGGACACAAGAGCTGTCCCCCCCCCCGGTGTCTGGAAGGGTCAAATTTGTGCAGAGGGTCCATTGTTCCCGGCCCTTTGTTACAACCCTCCGCCCTTTTGTGAACCCATCAATTTGCATGAGGGGCCCATTTTTCCCTGACGCGCCACCCTTTCTCTCTCCCAGGGGTACGCACGGGTACATGGCTCCCGAGGTGCTGCAGAAGGGGACGGCCTACGACAGCAGTGCGGACTGGTTCTCCCTGGGCTGCATGCTCTTCAAGCTTCTGAGAGGGTGAGTGAGGCGCCCCCTCCCGGTGGGCGCGTCAGCAGGGCCTGGGCTGGGGTCACCGTCAAGGCTGTTAGACTTGATGCTGTTCCGGGTCCCACAGTGGCCTGTCAGCCACGTGCTCATCTAAATGAGGACCGTGGCTCACTCTGCCTCGTGAAAGCGACAGCTCTGTTCCCGTAAGATTATAGAAGAAAGCTTATGGTGTGGTGTTTTTATTCCATATCCTGTAGGAGTTACAGCAGTGATGGCGAACCTTTTGAGCTCGGCGTGCCAGCATTTTGAAAAGCCCTAACTTAACTCTGGTGCCGTGTCACATAGAGAAATTTTTTGATATTTGCAACCACAGTAAAACAAAGATTTATATTTTTGATAATTTATTTTATATATTTAAATGCCACTTAACAAAGAAAAATCAACCAAAAAAATGAGTTCGCGTGTCACCTCTGACAGGCGTGTCATAGGTTCGCCATCACTGAGTTACAGCATACTTAAATCTAAAATAAGACCGCTTTGAAAAAATTTATAAAAACAATAAAATAAGACGGCTTTGATATATTTCCATTGATACCCCTTATTTGAGAATAAGTGTTATTTGAAAATGTGGGTAATTGACAAAGGTAGGATTTTTTTTCCCCCTACAAATGAATTACCCATGATTGTCTTGTGCGCTTAGGTCATTTTCAGGGTTACCCACGTGGATGAAGACCCGTGATGAAGCCGTTTTAAACGTGCATTTATTTGTAATCCTGCTGACAGTAATTTGTTTTTAAAACGCAAAGATGGGATTGTGTAGTCTTGTGTTTCTAATTCATTTGGTGGTAATGGACCCTCAGTCCTAAGCTACCGAACATGGTGAAATCGAGGGGACCGATGACGCCGCGGAAGCGCTCTCAAAACGTGTCCTCATCTCGAACGATTAAACGTTGTTAGCATTTCCGCGGAGCTTAAGAACGTTTAGCCAATTTCAATAGAGAGCTTAAGTTCTCAGCGTATAGTGTTGCTTTTTCTTCATTCACAAAGAGGCAAAAAGCGCTGGACAGGAAAACGTCCTCGTCCAGGTTCGCCCGTTGATGTTTCCCTCGTGAGCACGCGAGGCTGGTGTTTGCTGACTTTCTCACTTTTCTGTCTGAAAGCCTCCTTGAGCACCACTCATCTTCTTCTCTTCAGCACATCTGGGAGGGGCTGGCCCCGCACTCGGTCCGGAGCCCCCAGACTCCGCCGATCCAGCCGATCTCTGCTCCCCATCCGCTTGGGCACTGAAATTGCATTATTGCCTAGAAGAGGCAGAATCTTGTCGGGCCCTGAAATTGAATTAATGGGGTTTGTGGGAGCCGGGAGGGCCTTAAATTCCCGTCATCAGACTTGCTGACCCTAATTAGGGGGGCTTCTGCCAGGCCAACCAGAAGACAGCCGTTCCCACCCGAGAACATCCTTCGACCCCTGGGAGTCAGCGGGGCCCGGGCGGGCGCATGCCGCTTGGCCAGGTCCTTTGCCCGGCCTCCCCGAGGAGGTTAGAGATGCAGAATGGCCCACTGACAAGAAGTTCAAGGATGATGAAAAACTGC